CTGTGTATGTCCCAAATTTTCTTTGCATTGGAGACATCATATCACTTGGCCAAAAGGTCAATTAAGCCAGCATCAGATATAATCTTGTACCTTTGGTTGAGGACCAGAGAAAAGACTTGGTTTGAATTTGGGGGGCAGGTGGGAGGACAAACACAAATCTTTAAGTCGTAGAATCCCACTTTGCCTGGGAAGATAATTGTATTAGAAACTAAGAAACAGAGGTCTACGGTGTTCCATTTCCCATCTCACACTCAACCTGGAGACATAGAATGCTCTACGCTCATTCTCAGAAATGGACTGTGTGATTTGATTTGTTATTGCTTCTTATTTTCTTTCTTTTTTTTTGATACAAGATTTCGCTCTGTTGCCCAGGCTGGAGTGCAGTGGTGCAATCATGTCTCACTGCAGACTTGACCTCCTGGGCTCAAGTGATCCTCCCACCTCAGTCCCCCAAGTAGCTGGGACTATGGGTGCACACCACCATGCCAGGCTAATTTTTAATTTTTAATTTTTTTTTTGCAAAGACAGAGTCTTGCTATGTTACCCAGGCTAGTTTCCAACTCCTGGGTTCAAGAGATCCTCCCACCTTGGCCTTCCAAAATGTGAGAATTACAGGCATGAGCTCCTGCACCCAGCAATCCTCATTTTCTTTTGATTGAGCATGATTAGTTGATTTCACATATGTTAAGCGTATGCATGATAAAGTTACACTGTACTCTGCTCTTTGGAGAGTTAATATATGAAGCTTATTATCCTTAGACAATATAGTGGATAAAAATACAAAAAAGCTCAAGAAGGGTTTAAATCAATTCACAGATGTCAGAGTTATAGCTAGTTCTGAAGAGACAAATAACTTTACAAAATACTCCTCAGTGATGTTACTGTTAGAGAATACAGATGTACTTACCCCTCATTCCTACCAATCTCTGACACTACATATGTGTGCACATTCCCTGTGACCTCCCCCAGACATTTATTATCTTTCTTCCATCCTTGTCCCTACTCACACCATTTTTCCCCACCATTATCACCACCCTACAGGTAATCACTTTGTTTCTTAGGTATCTTTCCAGAGTTGCTTTATGCAAATACAAGTAAATAGGAAAAGATAACCTTATCTCTTCCCCCTTTCTTACAGAAAATGCAGCATGTTCTATTGTTTTGCACTTTGAGCTCTGTGTAACAAAGCATCCTGCAACTCTTTATCATTAAAAACTATCATTTTCCAACATTACTGTACCATATTCTGTTGTATAAATATACCATAATTTATTTAACTAGTTCCTTTTTGGGTGGACATGTGGGTTTCTTTCCTCCATTCTTTCTCACAATTGTGAGCAATGCTACAAGAATAACCTTGTATGCATGTACTTTCTGACATGTACATATGTATCTTAAGACAAAGTCCCATAAAAGGGACAGCTGTCTCAAAGGGTACCTTCATTTGAAATTTTGGTTAAGTAGTGCCAAATTCTCTTTCATAAATATTGTACCCTTTTGTACCACAAGCAACAAGGTATGAGAGTACTTGCTAACACTTCAGTTCTTAACATCGAGTATAGAAATGTAGCTTCTAGGGATAATGGCTTCTATCAGCTTTGTCCTCAGCACTCAAAGAAGTCATATTTCTATAGAAGTTGATAAGATACAAGGCACAGAATTGATGAGGATGACATCCACCTACTCTTTTGAAGCCTTATGTAGGTTCAAACTAGGAAAACCTTATGAACAATGTGTAAGACAGCCTCTTTGTAATGCTTTTGCTGAGGCCTATCCCCATACTGGAATTCAAGTGTTCTGTCTCCTACGTGCATACCAGCATTGTAAAAGGGTCTCTACTTTGACTAACACAGCAACATTAACTTCATTTGGAAGTGCCAGTAGCTGTGCGGCCCAGGGCAATAGCAAGGTAAATTGCAGGCTTTGGAATTACACCTGTCTGGATTCATGGCTCCCCTTACCCATGTGACTCTGGGTAACTCATTTGGCAGACTGCTGTTTTCTAGACGATTAAGATGGGAATACTAATCCTCATGCCTTTTTGGACTGCCATAAAATAAAAGGAATCATATATGGGAGACTATTTAGTACATAATAGTATTCAACACTAACTTTCCCTTTTGCCTTTCTGAAAATAGAGAACTGGGAAGAAAAACCTCAAAGGGGTTCTAAACATTTAAAATTTATGTCACAACTTCTGTATGTTAAAGCTTTCTTATTTTACTCACAGAAGAGGCTCTAAAAATCGATTTAGTATTGTCCTACATGTAACTCCAACATGCTTTGTTGTTTGGCTTCTCTGTCTATATTCAGATGTAAATATAGGGGCCAAAGTTGTTAATTGGTTGAATAAAAAAAGCAGAGATTAAAAAATATTGTTAGAAAAAGCCACCACCGCTACCACCAGCAGCAGCAACCTCAACAACAGTGGTGCTTAGCAGGCTGGGGTAGGCACATAAATAGTTACAGCCTCTTAGCATAAGGCCACTTCAAGGTCAAGTTGTCAAGAAAAGGTCAACTGTCTGCCTGTTGTGCACAGAGCAAGCCAATGGGCAATGCATTTATTTCATTTCCCTCCCCTCCCCGGTTTAACTAAAGTTTTGAGGTACCTCTGTAATAAAGCATTGAATTTTATGAAGATTTACATCATAAAATGTAAAGCCCATTTTCTTTGGCACTTAAAGGTGAAATTTCAGTTATCTGGAAAATTAATTAACTCAAATAATTTTAATTTGCACTAATTTAATCAATATTTATTGAGTGCCCACTATGTGTTCAGCAATGTGCTAAGTGCTTGCTGACTTGGAACAAAAATTGTCCCATAAATTCTAGGTAAAAATGTACCATCCAAAGTATAGTCCATATTTATGTTAATTTTTCAGTGAGTCTTCATGAGAGGTTTATTATCATTGTAACTGTTTTTAATTTTAGAGCCTTCTGGGTTCTATAATGTATCCTTTTTCCAAAGAAAGTAGAGGGATAAAATTGTTGAAACAGCAAATGTGAAGTTGAAATCACTTGACAGCCTGAGAATCTTATATATCTACTTGAAACTTCAATTGTAATAAACACTTTTGACTCATAAGCTCATTTGTCAGCCTTATATAGTGAGTGTAATTTACTTAGCTAATTTCACTAGTAGATTATGTTCTTTCAGGGCACAGAGAAATAGGAATCATAAATACGCCATTACTGCCTGCTTTTGTATCTCATTTCACAGCCTCATAGCTTAGAGAAAATATATTTGAAAGCACAAATTAATTATACCTATTTTCTAGAAGTATTTCAAAATGCTATCTTTTATTAGAGATACCAAATCTACTCAGTGATAGAATTTAAGTAGATACATATTGGTATTATGCAAACATAGTAACAACGGTGATAATCATAGCAGTTACTGTGTAGTGCTTACTGCCTATCAAGTATATTGAGATCCTTGAATGGATTATCACCTTTAATCTCCCCAGCAGATTAAAGGCACTGCTTTAATTTCAGAGAAGGCACTGTTATTATTCCCATTATATAAAGGTGAAAACTGAGACTTGAAGGGGTAATTTTGCTCACATTATTTGCAATCCTACTCTATATTTATGCCATGTGAGGTGTTACTCATTCAAATTCAGTGAAGAAACAGAGTCCCATCTATACGCAGAAATAATCTTTACGTGCTGGCCTTAAGTTTTATTACCATAGGAAGTAAGAGGCTTAAAACATAATATGAAATACATGGATAGAGTTATAAGACTTGTTTCTGCAAGTTGATTTTGGGATCACTCCCCTCTTCACAAAGTCTAGGAGTAAAAATTCACTATTAGTACTTTCTCTAAAGTCTTCAGAGATTTCACATTGCCATATATACTCATGAAAAGCTGTATCCTAAAATGTAGTATCCCCATCTACCCTGCCATTCCCCAAACTTAGGTGCCACAGTATTCAATAGCATCAAAGTAACTACTGAAGTTGTCAAAGGCACTTTTCTTCCATAGAACCTCCAGCCATACTAATATTACCTAATTTGTACTCTTAACATTCTAAAGACAGTTATTGGCATTATTAGAAGACTTTATTGAAGAGAGATGTAGACAGAATCAGAAAAATGAGTTCAAAAATTTAGGGAGGTCAATGAGAAAATCCAGGGATTTTTTTTCTCCTTACTCTTTTCATAACTTCAAAACGTTCATGCCATCTAATCAGGAACAACTGCAACCATGTAGTTTGCCCTATTTTGGCTATCTAGCTTCAAAAATACTTTCACTGGAAGATCATTGTAATTCAAATCCATTCAGTGCTGCTTCACTTTTGTAATTTTGTTAGCTAAGTTTAAGTAGTGTACCCTGCACCTACTTTAATGATATAGCACATTGATAACATTTTTCCTCATTTAAAGCCACGTTTACCCACAGAGCTTTAGCACCAAAAAAATTCTGAAAGGCACTCCTTACACATTTAAATAATCTGAACAAATAACTGATACAGGTTAAGCCCTGGCTAATTCTGAGTTTTCCAAATTAAGATCACAGAATGTAAAAATTGCACATTAAAATAAAAAGTTGGCAGAATATATTTCCATAGGGCAGAAAATACATTCAAGGTCACAATATGCCCATTCATTCCTTACTCCAACATGTAAGCCACAACCAGGCCGATTTCCAACTGAATTTTGCCTTAAGTTTTCTTAAGGGAATGATAGAAACTTTATTACAAAAGATGGTAAAGTTGTCAGTGACAGGAAAATCAGAAGGTCAACAGAGGTAAGAGGAGAGGTGTCTAAATGGAATTGAGAATCAATAAGTTGCTAGTAACTATCTAACTGAGGCAACTTTTAAAGACCCTCAAAATAAGGGAAGAATAAAAGAGAAATTTAAAAGAAAACAGAAACAGCCAGAGGTGAGACATAGACATTTTGATGGGGGGGGGGTTGTCTAACTACACAATGAGGTCATCCCAGCTCCCGGAAGTGACACGTAATCACCTGCTTTGCACTAGCTCCGCCCCTTCCCTCAAAGGTCCCGCCCCTCCACCAGCAGCCGGCAGAGTGTTAGGGGGCGTTTCTCCAGAAGGAAGGCTGTGAGCTGCGACGCTGAGGAAGGGGACCCCAAAACATCTGGCACTGCCCCCTCCAGGGATCACTTTGGACCGCGTCACTCGGCCCAGCCGGATTCTGAAACGCCGAGGGGTCAACCTGATGGGTTTCGGGGTCAACGGAAGAGGGGAAGGGGAGCCCTGGCGGGGAGAACCCCCCGGTCCCCCGCCCAGCAGCTGAGGCACAGGAGGGCGGCCATCTTGGCCGGGAGGGTAGGGCTGGGGAGCTGCGGGCGCCGTGCGATTGGGGGGCTCGCCCGGAAGTGACGCCAACTACCCGGAAGCGGAGGGGGTTCCCTGGCCCACTCCCCCCTCGTTCGTTTGCTCCCCCGCTTCCTCCCCGCCCCCCTTCCTCTCCATTCGTTTCCCCCCCTCCCCGTTCCCTGCCTTCTTCCCCCCCCCCCGCCGTCCCTCCCCCCCAACCTCCGGAGCTGGGAAGAGAGTCAAGATGGCGGCGAAATCCGATGGCGGTGGCGTGGGGGTGGGCTTCGCTCAGCTGCACAACCTGGACGAGGCGGTGGGCAGCGGCGGCGAGGAGGACGGGGAGCCCGGGGGAGGCGGCTGCGGCGGCGGCGGCGACGGCAGCGAGCCCGGCGAGAGCAGCTCGCTGCACATCTGCCACTGCTGCAACACCTCCTCGTGCTACTGGGGCTGCCGCTCCGCCTGCCTGCGCTCCCTCCTGGGCAGGAAGCCGCGCCGCAGCGCCGCCGCCGACGGGGGGGACCAGCCGCTGCAGCCTCCCGCGGCCCCCGGCGCCGACCGCCAACCCCCGACGCCCTCGGCCGCGCGGCCGCAGCCGCCGCAGGCGGAGCGGCCGTGGCTCGACTGCCTGTGGATCGTGCTGGCGCTGCTCGTGTTCTTCGGGGACGTGGGCACCGACCTGTGGCTGGCCCTCGACTACTACCGCAAGGGGGACTACGTCTACTTCGGGCTGACCCTCTCCTTCGTGCTGGTGCCGTCGCTGCTGGTGCAGAGCTTGAGCTTCCGCTGGTTCGTGCAGGACTACACGGGCGGCGGGCTGGGCGCCGTGGAGGGGCTCAGCAGCCGGGGCCCCCCCATGATGGGGGCCGTCTACGGCCACGGCGCGGCGGTCTCGGCCACGCCGGGGGCGCAGCGCCTGTGCCGCCTCTCCGTGTGGATCTGGCAGTCGGTCATCCACCTGCTGCAGATGGGGCAGGTGTGGAGGTAAGATCACTGCGGGGTGGGGGCGGGCCGGCCCTGCGGAGACCCCTCCGTCCTCCCGGTGCCTCGCGGGGCGGCCTCTCGGACGGGCCCGGCGCGGGGGGTTCCAAGGAGGGACTGGCCGTGCGCCGCCCCTGGCGTCTCCAAAACACCAGCGTTTGATCTGGATCCCTGGCCACGCCTTTGGTCGGGGGAGGCCGAGTCCTGCCGTTGGCCTGTCCTCGTCCCAGCTTCGCACTTGGCGGGGTCCCTGCCGCGGCCCTCCCCGCCTCCTCTGCAGACCTCCGTTCCCGGGCGCCCCTTTCCCCTGCCTCCGGAGGTAACCAGCTGCGGTCGCCCAGGGCTGCACTCCGGCTCGCGGCCCGGTGGAGCCTTCCCTCTTCCAGCCTCTGCACTCGGGTTTTTTCCCGGGTGAGACATCCTCCCCTCTTCCCCCGTTCTCCCTCTGCAGTGGCCTGCGTGGGGCCCTGTGGAAAAACCCTCGCTGCCGCCTCCGAGCACTCCTGGATTCCACGCCCCTTGCTCGTCCTGCACTCCCAGCCCCTGCGAACGACTCCAAACCGCTGCCCTCCCAGAAGGGAAAAAGACTTTTTTTGGTGTGCTGGATTAGACGTGTCCTTTTCTTAGTGACAGGTAAAAATGGGATAAAATATGATGGGGCGAGCGTTTGGTGTTTACTCTCACCTCCAGAAAACCAATTAGCCACCTGGATACCTGCTCTGGGGAAACCGTGTTTTTGGTAGTCAGGCCAGTGTGTAGGTGATTTAAATTTACACAAGATCCCAGCTTGGCTTTGCGGCTCTTTATCCTTTCGTAAATTTCCCGTGTGCCAGTTCGGTCCCTCACAATTCACTTGCAGGTGCTCTTTCTGCCAGGAGCCTTATTGACTGCTTCACTAGCTAAACTGAGGCAATGAACCCATTCTCACCTGGGTACATCTGTGCCCTCTTACTTAAATTAGCTTGTGTGTATTCTGGAAACAGTGAGTTGTAGGTGAGAGCATTTACTGAAGATAAATTACACGGGGACAAGCTCTTCAAGTGCATGGCTTCTATGAGAAGACGTTTTGCCTAGACTGCCCTGACTTCTAGCCTAGTAAGATTTTAGGCACTTAGTAGTTCAAGTAACAGATATAACTATGTTAGCTGAAATAAAGTGTACTGCCTTTTCTATGATTTGTGCAGGTGTTTATTCGGAATTTATTTAAATAAAAACGTTCCAGAAAGTATGGGATTGAATTAAGTCAAATCACGAGAGTGGATGCAAGAACTTTGTCCTGCAGTTTACATGCAAATTCACGCTAGGGGAAATGAGGGTGGTTCTGTAGGCCCTGCACCACCCAGAGTTGTTTACTGGCCTTTGTAGGCTGGACCAAACAGCTTTATCTCCCGCTGCATTTGTCTACAGATAATTTGTTTCCTGCTGATAAGTTTATAAGAAGTGAGGGTTAAAACAGGAAAAGTGCTGATTAACTTTTGGCTGTTATGAGCGTAGCTTGGGGTCAAATAAAATTCTGAAATACGTTTTAACTTTGAAATGTAAATCCCCAAACACCCACACACCCAAAGTAATACGGAATCAAAGGTAGTGTGTTTGGTACTGGAGATACCTTTTTTTGGAGGGGGGTCTCTGGTTAAGATGCCAGGAATGAAGGAGGGGAGGGACAAAAAGTGTGGGGAAGAGAGATTGTAACATACCATTAGAATTTAGCAGCATGTATTGGTAGGCTTCTGCTGAACAAGCGAAGTCAGCTATCTCCATGTGGTAAACTTCTAAGTGTGAGCTATAAAAATGTTGGTGTCAGGTTAAAATTCCTGTGAGAACTCTTTCTAATGGAGTCTGTCCTGGACATTTATTAGTAGTAAGCTTTGAGACAGAATGAAATTGGAGTAGAATAAAACCCCATCTCCATTCACCTAAACCTTAATTGTATCTGGGCAAAGTGGAAGCCCAGATTTTAGGACAAACTGAAGCGTACACTTTAAATGTCATTTTAGCTTTTGTAGTTGTATGTAGAGTAGTATTTTTTTTTCTGATCTTAACTTTCATCTGCAGTGATATAGGTATATTTTTAAAGTGCCTGTGGCTTTACTGTCTAGTTTTTTTTTTTTTTTTTACTTTTTCAAGATTATACTGCTAAATATTTTCTAAAGTTATTAAAAGACATGCTAATTTTGCTAAGTTCTTTCTTCTAACATAGGTGTACTTCAAAAGCAGTATTTACTGAGGAAGGAGTCTATTTTTGAATTTTTTTTTTTTTTTCAGTTAGCTGGTTTTGCTTGAAATACTCTAGGAGCAAGGTCTGCTGCTTTAATACCTGCTAGGCATGTTGTTTGCATTGAAATCATTCATATGTAAAAGCTTTAGAGGAATTCTTGTTTTAATCTTTTGGCTAACAGTTGCTTGTCAGTGTGTATGAACATACATCTCTGTTTTTACTGCAGATCTTTTGGGGTTATAGTTGTTTTTGTAATCATTTTTGCTGTTGAAACTTTGCTGTTTCTTATGGTAACATGACATAAACGTTAAGATCTAGTATTTCTATCATTTGGTTTGGGCCACATCTTTAATAAAAGATATCAGTGAAGTTGTACATTGTCAAAACTGATTCCATTAAACAGTGAATACTTGTCTCTTCACATTTTTTAAAACGTAAAATTACTTGGTTATAGGTTGGACACAGCACAACCCCTATTTAATTTAGGTTCCCTCGATATTAAGGTGGGACACTTCTGTGCATCTTGCCATTGCTGTCAAGATGGCAAATACTTGATATGTTTTATCAAATGACTTTACAGAATGTAAGAAAATATTTCTGGCTGGGCTGAAATTGGAGCATGGAAAAATGGTTGTCTGTAGCATTATGTGGTCTCATGAACTTGCTTTGCAGAGCAGTAGTGTGTGATTAAGGTCTTTTCATGCATGCCTTCCTCTCACTAATTACTAAACATGTAACCCGTGTACAGCTTGATGTGCTTTATTTCTCAGGTGTTTTTCGTGGGGATAACAGGCATATGAATCACTTATTCTAGGAGCGTGAGTCACATTGGGCTTCACATTTGTACGATGTGTTGTAAATAGAGCATTTTCTTGGAGGGTTTGGCTTTAGGAACAGTGTGATTTAGTTTGCCTGTTGCATTGATGTATGCAGGTTTTCCCTTCAGCTATTGTCCTTTCTCTGCTTTTGTGTCACTTTTAGAGGTTGCTTAGTGCATTGTCAGTTCTCTTCAGTCAAGAAGCAACAGTGCTTTGACCAAAATGTCATGGCCACATCATTAATCTCACATTTAACGAATTTAGTTTTATGTGTGTGTTTGCACTCTAATGTTTCAGAATAAAAGGAATTTACTTCTTTATACAGCTTGCCATATTTAAGGGGATGGTCAGTGGTTCTTTATCGTGTGAGATGGGATGTGGGAGAAGGTTGCCTTCAGGGGAATAAAAAGGAAGAGGCATTTTGCATTTCATAATGGCATTATCCAGCTGAGCAGTCTACAGTTCTGTTTTCAGCATTGTTTTCTGATATGAGACTCGTGTAATTTGGGTATGCAGCTCTCCACACAATCAGTAGTGAACTTGCTGGGCTGGTGAAGATGCTTTTTTTTTTTTAATCACTCGCCTGCCCTCTCTGCTCCTCTGTGTAGGGATACTTAGTTTATTATGGGTCTTTGTTCATGTGGAATATTTTAGAATAGTGGTTCTTAGTTCTGGCTGAGAATAGAATCCGTTGCAGCTGTTAAAGAAATAGAAAAGCCCAGGCACTGCTGGACCTGTTGAAGAAGACTCCCGAGGGAGGACCCAGGAAGTCGTAGTTTTCGAAGACCCACGAGTGATTACATGGGCACCTCAGGCTTGAGAAACACTTTAGAATTGGATTTCAGGCTTATTCTGTTTGGAGAGGGATATAAGTTTTGTGTTCTTAATAAATGATGGCAGAATTGGGAAGGGAATGACCTGATGCCATTAAATTTGGCCCCTGGATAATACCATAACAAAGGGACTTTACCTTGGAAGCGTGAGTGTGTAAATGTACTCGGGGCTTACTCAAGGGTATGCGCTCGTGGCACTCTGTGTTTTCTGGGGTTTTTTTTTTTTTTTTGAGCTCAAGTATTAATCTTATTCTGAATGAATTCCCAAATTCAAAGCAGTCTTCAATAAATATAGCCCACTTCTCTTTGCCTTTTATGGGATACAAATAATGTTTATGTTGCGTGTGAAAGGTATAATAATTCTGTTTAATTCTGAAATGATTCTATTAAATAAGCTTGAGGAAGCATAACTGGGATAAGCGTAACTGGGATTGTGAGTGGTGTTGAGATAAGTGATCTGTAATGTCCCTCTAATGCTAAGATTTTGTGGTTTAAGAATGGTAATATCTTCAATATTAAGATATCTGCAAATAGGAGATTCATATGATGGGGCCACGATACCATCACAGACACATTAATAGATTGTAAACATGTGGGGGGTGTGTGTGTAGAGAGAGGAAGAGTTTTATAGGCTTATTAATGGGTGGGAATCTCATTGTAAAAATAATATATTTTTTTTCATTTTAACCATAAACTTAATGGAATTCTGGTTAAAAAACTCAGTGGGATTTTTCTGAGCGGAAAGTTGGGTAAAATTGATCTGAGAAAAGTACAAATGTGTTTGAGTAGTCAAAAAGCTTTGAAAAATGTTGAGTTCTGCCTGATGAGGAAGTGGATGTGCTATAATGTGTCAATAATTAGACCAATGTGCAAAAAAATTAAGCAGGTAGGTCATGAAGGAGAAAAAAGAGTCTTACATAATTGATATGTTTGTGAGAATTTAGTACATAGTAAAGGTGGCAGTGCTAATCAGTGGATGGAGAAAGAATTATTTAACAAATTATATTAGCAATTGACTACCTATTTAAAAAAAATGGATCTCTACCTTATGTAAACAGGAGTGCTTAAAGAAGGAAAGGTGTAAACATAAAATGTTAAACTGTAAAAACACTAGAAGTAGGATCAACATTATTA